TTTCAAACGGCATGGGAATCTGTCAATATTTATCTGATGAAAACTCATAATTATCTACTTTTAACAACAATAATTAAATTATTAAGATATTAATAGTTGTTAATTTTAAATGACTGAATGGGTCGTACCATCATGTTTTTAAAAATTTTATTAAAAAAATTTAAAAAAATATGATCTAAAATTTTTTTCAAGACAATGAATAAAATGTTGAGTTGATAAATATTAATTTTAATTCAATGGTATTAATTTTTAATTTTTAATTGAATTATAAATAATCATTTCGTTCAAATACCTTTATTTCGGTTCTATATCGTTGTTGAACGTGACAATCACAAAAATTCTTTGGCTAAAGTTTTTGCGAATTGAATCATTAGCGGAAGTAAATATAATTCTGAGCGGAAACGCTTGTCTCAATATATATTTGTATTTTATAATTTTAATAAGCATTAAAATTATTTATTTTCAAATAATATAAAATATTTTTCTCCAAAAAAAAACTTTGAAATTTTGAACATGTGCAGAAAATTCGTTTAAGCCCACCGTTGTAGCAATACAATTATAATCGCATCATTAATAATGTACCTCTTTGCAGTTTATCTAACGAAGGATTTATTTTAATAAATTCTGTTTGTACTGTACAATAATAAATTGCAATTTGATTATAAGTTTTTTTGTCACAAATTGTTTTAATTTGTCAAAGAATAACAGTATTATTTATTTTTTTTCGTTAACGATGTTACTAATATTATCGTTTACGAATCTTTGAATCCAAAGCACCTTTCTAAACGCTGAAACATTTGTTCTTGGGCTAAATGATTGATTGATAATAATGCATCATCTAATAGCGCCGATTTCTTTTTAAAAAAAAATTGTTTTTCGCGTAATTAGCAACCGCAATATTTCATAACGGAAACTTATCTCCTATGCAACTGATTAGTTATGCAGAGTAAGAGACTTTAAGGATAAAATTCATTCATAGAATAAGATTGTTTTGTAAATTTAAGTTTACCTTCGGTGACGAGCGGCAACATAAGTGTGATAAATGAAACGATTGCCCCATAAAAAAAGTCGATTCGTGTTTTGTTTTACGTGAAGGGTTCATTTTCAAAGAATTTATAATATTAAATCACGGAAATTTATTTTCATATAATTTATCCTGATTCCGTGAAAGGCTGAAATTTTCGTAAGCCACGGATAAATATTCGGCCTAGAATTTTTATACGGTTGAAAAAATACAAAGATATAAAAAAAAAATTTTTTTTATGTAAACAATGTATTAAATCTATTTGCGGTTATTGAATTCAAATAAATACCGAGGTTTTACTCAAAATCAAATGAAAACAAAAAAAAAAAATTAAAATATAAAATTAAAATCAAAAATTAAGAATTCAATTAAAGTAAATTAATTAAATTTTGATAAGGTTATAAGATATCAATGAAATTATAATAGTAATCTAATTCTCACTTAATTCAACTTCTTAAAAAAAGTACAGAAAATAGTGTAGTATTTATAAATTAGGAAAAAAAAAGACTAAAAAGTTAATAATATACAAAAAATGTATCGCAGGCGTCAGGTTCAACTTAGACAACGACACGTAAATGGGATAAATCGAGTAATTCGAGCAGATCCCCAAAGACCCTTTAATAACCTAGGCCCATTAACGACTTAATTTTGAACCTTCCTAGGCAAATTGTTGATGATAATCCATTTGCCGAACAGATTTACAATGGATCATTTTTTCCTTTTTGGTAATTATTTTATAAGTAAATATTTGATTTTTATTTCCTCAAAATTAATGTTAATAATGTATTTGTAAATTTTATAATTCGGCAAATTTATTATTTAACTTATTTATTCTAAAGGTAATATCATTATTTTAATATTTATTAGGAAAAATAACTATCTAGAATCGCACCACAAATTTACATTTTCATTTTACATTAGGGACATTTTAAAATCATTTTTCTGTTAGAGTCTTTATTATACATAAAATGAGAAACATCAGGATTTGGGAAACTTTTTTTTTAATTTTTTAGATTTTTAGAGTTTTAGCTTTTTTGACATTAGCTTTTTTGACAATATCAGATATTAAAAAAATATTATAAGATTTAAATTTAAAAACTTGATTTTCTACATATATTTGGTACTGTACACAAATATTTTTTAATAAACAACACTTTTTGATACACATTTATATTTTAAATTTGTTCGAAAAACCCTTTTTATTGATAACAAATTGCAAATTGCTTTTTTTATTCACAAAATAAAAGTTATTTAGTCTTAAGTTACATACCTATTAAATTTATAAATGATTTTTTTTCATTTCACGCCGAGATAAATTCACACGTGTTATTGCAATATTTGATTGGCTAATCGTTGCCATGTGATACTAAAACAAAAAAAAAATAGTGATCTGTACGATAAAAAAAAAATGTATTCTATTCTATTATAATTAAATCAATTCACATGTCTAAGAAATTATTCAGGCAAGCATGTGATAAAAAAAATAATAAAAAATAATTTTATCTCGAAAGAAGCAAGTAAACAAATAATATTAAAAATCATGTCGATTAAAAAATTAATAATCTTAAGGTAAACTAATAATTTGAAATTGATTATTATTATTGCATATTAACTAAATCTACATTATTAATCTACATTATTAATACCGATTTTTAAAATTTAATCAGATAAATGAGGAATTGATTCAAGGGTTAGCTTATACAAAGTTTGTTGATGCTTCTGTTGCTGTAGATAATATTAAACTATGTACGAATGTGGCATTTCAGAAGCCTATCAAGAAATCTTTTGATCGGTATCTTTTGATCGGTAGGGTGTTGAAAATAAAATACGAAAATATTATTTGAATTATACAATACAATAATAAGTCGAGTACAAGTTATAAGCTCATTGAAGGTAGGTAATTTATTTACAATGAATATTTTCGAATACAATTTCTTGAATTATGGAGGCGCTACCATTAGAAGATGAAGTATTTTGTATAATATTAAGATTTGAAAAAACCGTTGCCATCCCTATAAAAAATAAATATCCAGAAAATATCATCGAAAATGCTCGGGTATATCTGAAAAATGTCCGAAAAATGTCTTGATAGTTCATGATTTAGGACCAAAATTGATGTCCTGAATGTTAACTTATCCAGAAATTGTCCACAAATTATGGACATAACAAATTTCTGGACATATTCTATACAAATAAAACCGGACATTTTTTCAGATATAAAAAAAATTGAAATTTTTGAATTGGACAAATTCTGGATACAGTCATAACGATTCTCGATATAACGATCACTTAATAAAATCTTGTTAAAACAATTTTTTTAAAAAATTTGACTTTATATTTGAACATATAAAAATCGTTATATAGAACTTATAAATTTTGATAAACCATTTTTTTTAAAAAATTTCATAGTAAACCAGAAGGTTCGTTATATCGAGTTCTGACTGTATATCAAAATTCTGGATAAATTCCAGACAATATTTCTAAAAATAGATAAATAAAAAATCAAAAAATATAAAAAGTACGAACTTAAACCCTTCTTCTTATTTAAAATAAACTTGCAGAGCAGGCAAAAATACTATCTATGATAATAAATTAAAATTCCCATCATTGGTAATAAGTTTCAGATTAATATATCAAATATCTAAATAAAAACCAAACAATGGCAAATCCGGACAAAAACAGGTCTTTCACATTTTGGTAATGTTCTGGACATAGTGATCTGTCCGGAATTTATCTTAACTATTTTTTGGACATTTTGTTAACAAATTCCAGACATCATTTTTTCATAGTGCATCCTGAATATTATGTGAAGTCAACATCAAATTTTCTTATTTTGAGTTGTTTAAGAAGATAGCAAATATTCAGAATATAATTTTCAACAAGGATGAGTAATTAGATCATTGGTTTAATAAAAACACAAATGATAATTGCCTCGAAATTATTGATTTTAAATTATTTATTTAAAAGTATTAATGAGGAATTTTGACACAAGTCAAAAATTTACTTATTTATATTTAAATATATTGTAAATAAAATAATATTTATAGTCTCTGAGCCATCCATTTAAAACAATCGCGTAAAACGAAAAACTAAAGATTTTGCCAATGTGATAATCAAATGTATAATGGAAAATTTACATTAAAATTTATAATTGTGCCGGTTAGTTTTAAATTGAACAGAAAATTAAATAATTTACTGTATATGCATCAAGGATTATTACACAAATCATCTTTTTTACAAATGTTCAAATCTTATTTAGACATCTCTTAATAAAAAATTTTTTATACATTTACAAAGTTTTTTTTATTTCACAAGCTTAATTAGCTTGTAATTATTCTAATGGTTTGTGCCAACCACTTATAATATGTTTCTTTCTCTTTAATATATAACTGGTCAATCATTGAATGAATCTTAATTTAAGTTTATTGATAATATGGCGTTAAAGGATTAATAAAGGAAAATTAGTCGTTTATTTTATATGCTTTTCATGTGGTTTAAGATTTTAGTACCCTTTTAAAAATTACAAGTAGCAGAATTAAAAGCATTTAATGGCGCCGGAGGACATTTTTACTTCCAGACAATGTTCGTTGTTGTATTATCTAAATAACACATATTACTTGAAGAATTTGTATTTAATCTTTATCCTAATTTCATTGTGTATTAAAAAATATTAAAGGATAAGTAAACTTAAATTTTAAATTTTTAAAATAAATTGATATTAATTGTAGCCTGGTGATCACACGACACTTATCCTATTAGTGCTAGAATTTGTTTCGTCAATATTATTTGCAAAAATGAGAGAAACTTTCGGATTTCACGTGATTTCTCCGACAATAATAACGTTAAATTCTATATATTCAAAAATATTTTTATTCTAATAGAAATACATAAATAGAAGAAATTTTAAAAAGAAAAAATATATACTAATAAAAAGTAAATAAATAAAACCATCTCATTGGGTTGTGAAGTACAAATATCAATTAAAAACATCATTTAAATTTTCATGGGATACCAAGTAATCAGTAAGGAATTGTTTTAAGTGAAACTCAAGGTTTTGTTTATGGTTGTTAGAAAATTCCAAAGGTGGTTGTTGTTCACTTTGCTTTAATTCAATGCCATAAATGTTTGAGTTTAAATACTGCACTATATTCGAATGAGAAATCATTTCACAGGTCACATGATAAATTCTTTGTCCATTAGGATGTTGAAAATAAAATACGAAAAGTTCATTAGAATAAAGATCATTATTATAAGGCGAGTATAAATAATTAATTAATAATTGAGATATAAGTTCATTTAAGGTTATTTCTTTACAACAGACGAGGTAAATTTGAAAATCGTTGTTTGGCCTGTAATAAAATACAGTTTCATGAGGTATGGAGGCACGCTCATTAAAAGTTGATGTGGTTGGTACAGTAACAAAATCGTTACCACCTTGAGTATTATATGAAATAGACATCTTTTTTCGACTACGTCACAACTTTCTTTTTCTTTATAAGTTCAATTTTTATATTATAGAGCAAAGAAAGTTGCAGAAAGTTTAGATAATATATTGGATTAACGGGAGGATTATAATCCGAGTTTTTAGTTTTTAGTTTTAAATTTTTTTTTTTTTTCCAACTGCTTCACACTTTTATACATTTGTTTTGTCGAAAAGAATAAATGAATTGAGTAAGTTCCCGATATGTTGTAGCTAAAAAAAAAAGTGAGAACGAGTACTCAATGGATGATTCTGATTCTGTTTAAGAAAAGATTCACAACACTAATTTATTGTTCTATTTATTGATTATAAAGAAAATATTCCTAAATTGGTAAATAAAAATCGAATAGATCGAATAGATGTTGAACAAAGTTAAAATTTACTCTTTATATTATCGGATAGGACTCGAAAAGGTAAATTAAAATACAGACATTACCATAAAGAGAAATAAACCAAAAATATTGATCAATTTAGGGCTAGTTACATTTTTTTTTCACACATCATTATTTATGTTATTGTCAATTACATAACGTATACAATTGGATATTAAAGATTTAGATTATGTTATCTATTAGATAGAATGATTATATAATATGACGAAATAAATAAAGAAAAAACAACGTTACATGACATGTTTCAGAATAAAATTATTGTAGAGAAGGAAAATTACACAAAACTAACAAAACTAGTTACTTTTTTACCTTGTCTTTTTTGGCTTTTCGAATTAGTATGACATTAAAAAAAAAATTTTAAAAAAAAGTGTAAAAATTTATTAACGAAGTATTTAATTTATCTGGTAAATAGGAAATGTACTCAATATTTTGTTGTTGCTATTTTATATTTGACTTTGCACAAATTTAACTAAAATTTTAATAATTAAATAATGTTTCTTTTAAAATTTTAACCTAAAAATAATTTTAAGCAAACTATTAAAAATGCTAAAAATCAAAATCCCGAAAATTAATTGTTACTACTGTGATGGCCCGCGTTATGAAAGATATGTGACAAATATGGCTGCATCAGGTATGTGATGATTTCGGGATTTGGTTTTCGCAGACACTAAATTTACATATATCAAACATAAATGATTGAACAATGATTTTGTCCAACATTATGATTTTTGAACCAATTTCAAAAAAATAATAAATTAGATAAATTCAAACCATCTTCAAAATATTTGGCTGTAATGAAAATGTAAACCAGAAATAAACATTAAACTACTGTTATTAGCAGTTCTTCGGCGTTTATTAGTTATAAACGATATTAAAGGTAAGCAGAAGGATTTGTCTTTATTGTTTAATGAATTTTATTAATAATAATCAGAATTCTAATCTAATACAACATACATAGATAAATAAAGTATTGCCTACAACGTCGGCACTCTAAACAATCAGGTATGTTTATTAATTATATATTTCGGAGTTTTTACAATATAATATAAAAAGGAAAGGGAATAACGCAATGATTTTATTATTAGGATTATCGGACGATTGAATGATAGGACATCATTGTCCAGAGACAAAATTGGCCAGAGAACAATAATGGCCCAGGGACAATGATCTGCAATTAATCAATTTAACAAAGAGTGAAAATTTGGCAGTGATCATTACTAAATTTACGCTTAATTGGGATGATGTGTGTCATACAGATCGACATGTATTAATTAATAAATGTTTCGAATTAGGGAATTTGAGACACGAACAATTTATCTGCATTGTATAATAGATATATATATGCATATTCATATATTTCCGCAATTGCAATAAGTTTATAGCTTCTTTAAAATCGTTAGAATAAAATTGTGAAAGAAACTCTCCTGTGGTACTTTCGAGTCATGTTGAATTTAACAATCGCAAAGTAGCTTTTTTCAAGAATTTTAATTTGTATGTATATGATGATCAACACGAATTCAGATTTTTTTTAATCAAAATTAATCTATTCATTCTATATTAAAAATAAACAATTTACACGTATTGTATGTCAAGTAATAATTTATTCTTTTATTTTAAAAATAAAAGATTCTTTTAAATCGCAATGAAATAAATGGAGTAAATCAATAAGTTGGGTGAGAATGAAGCATCAAACTTGAATTTGGTTTTTAATTAAAAAAAAAGATCCATAGATATTAATTTTTTTTTTTATTTTAATATTTTTAATATTTTTAAAAGAAAAAACATTAAGTACCTTCGATTCTCATTTAATTCAAAAATTTCAGGATTTCAGAAAGTTTTGGCTACTTACAAAGAGAGGTAAGTAAATATTAATTTTATTTTAATATTTTTTTTTTAAAAAAAAATTTATTACTTATCTGATTCTCATTCAATCCAAAAAATGCAATAAGAGCAGATCTATATAAATTGGGTGAGGACAAAATCCTTTTCTATTCACAATTTCTAGTTTATACATATAATAATAATATAATTGTAATTGTAAGTTAAATAATAAATGTAACACTGCCATTACTTCTTTTTTTGAACTTGATGCTAATAAGTTTAATTTTCACTACATTTAAGTATAAATATTTGCATTTCATAAAAAATTCTAAATTTATTTAACTTATTTAACAAATAATTAGCAACTTCTTTTTTAGTTAAAAAGAGATTACTCTTAAATTTTTCATTAAATACTTGCTATAATTTGTAAATTTTTTTAAATTAAGATATTAAATTAACTATAATTTTCAAATAAATATTATGCAGAAAATTTAACTTAATAGATTATGTTTATATTTTATTTTCCTTTTACAGTTTGTATTGCTACAATTGCTACAATAAATTTAATAAGCTGTTTTTGAAAATTATTTTTATTTTCAATTTTTTTAATTTTCTTTTAAATATATATCATTTTGAAATCATTTTAATAGTATAATCTAATTATTATCAGTTGAAATATGGGAGGTGGTCAGTAGAAAGGAGGAAATCTGAAAATTTTAATAATTTTAGTTACTAAGCTAATTTTGTTCACATGACTATGATCAGTGAAGTGAACTAATTAAAAAAATTTTGATCAAAATTTTGATTTTTCCCTTTTCTACTGACTGCCTTTCATATAATGATTATAATTAAAGATGAGGCTGTAATTAATTATAAAATTTTATTTAGTTGCAACTATTTATGAATTTTTATATTAAAATAAATTTACAAGAAGTTGCAACTTACTGCGTTGCAACTTCTTAATTATAGTACTATCTTTAATTATAATTAATAATTACTTTTATTTCATCAGTATTATTTATATACTAGTAGAATTTCTTATTACTTACTCCTCTGATTTATAACAAAGAATTATAAATATTATTATGATCAGTTCTTTGAGATTGCTTAAAGATTAAAAGCATGATAAGGTAAGCATAAGGTAAAAGGTTTATAAGATTATATAGATTGAGTTAAAAAGGTTGATTGTTTATTCAATATATCTTCTAACAAATGAGTAATGCCTCTGTCAGCACTCTGTACTGTACAAATGTTATATATTAAACTAAACTAAAGATTATACTTTAAAACTACAATAAAATCTTGTAGAAAAATCTATCGTTCACTATTCTAAGACTCAAGGTATATTTATATAAAAATAATTACATAAAGTGTTCAAAGATATATAAGAAATATAAATAATATAATAACTATAATAACTATAATAAATATATATGATATAAGAGATATAAATAATATAATATTTGAACTCTGAATCAGGTCACGTAAACTTATGACCTGATCTGACCTGACCTGAAAATCCAGGTCAGGTAGACAATTTTCAGGTCAACATCAGGTTGGGTCAAGCTTATGATCTGACCTAATAAAATTCAGGTCAATTAATCAAATTAAACGAAATAAAATATTTAAAAAAAAATTTTTTAATCTATTTTTTTTTTAAAACATCTTTAATTTTATTTAAAATACTTTCTTTTTATATTCTAATAAAATTATTTATATAATTACTTTGTAATTTATTATAATCAAAAAGTTAAATTTCAAATTATAAATATTTTTGCAATTACATTATTATCAAATTAATTTTAATTTTTTTTATCCATTCAATTAATTCAAAGAGATATTTGAGTAATTTGATCAAAGAATATAACTTTTATCTCGTAAGTAACATTGCTCAATGGATTCAAAAATATGTGCATATAAATTTTTATTACTATTGGATTAATGGTTGTAAAGTTATATACATATTTCATATTTATATTATCTCATGAATTCTTTATATTTATTTTTTATTTGTATAGTGACTTCAAAGAGCAGTTAAAGTATTATGGTCAAAAGAAATCAACTTTTATCACGTAATTAAAGTTATTCAGTAGATTCAAAAATATGTGCATAAAAATTTTATTATGATTGGATTAATAGTTGTAAAGTTATACACATTTTTCATAATTGTATTATTTTACGAATTTTTTTTATTTTTATTTTTTATCTGTACAG